AAGAGAACTAACCATGGGTCGAGAAGCGCTCAGTGAGGTGATGAACGAGAATGGAGAATTGTTTGCAGAATTCTGTGCATTCAACGATTCGATGATTGCAGTGAGGCAGTGTGTTCAAACACAAGGATATCCATAAAGCGAGCAACATGGATTTTACCAGACACCAGGACACACTAAAAATCAGCTCGACTTTATCTCAATCTCAAGAAAATGTAGACGCAGTCTACTTGACACAAGGTCAAGAAGAAGAGCAGATGTAGGTTCAGACCACTGTCCAGTGCAAAGAACCTTCCAAATCAAGTTGAAATCCTTTCAAGGATGTTGGTGATAGACCGCAGTTCAAGTACAACACCCACAACAGAAAGTGAAGGACGAAACTACAAAGGACATCCTGATGGCAGACATCAAGACAAAATGGGAGAGAGATATCGAGGAACATCCCTGAAGAAATCTGTGTGGAAGAACACTGGAACTCTTTGAAAGAGATGTGGAGAGAAACCTGCACAACAGTATTAGGAAGGAAGAAGAAAGAAGATAAGGAATGGATCTCGACGGACACATGGAAGCTGATAGAGGAGTGAGAGGAGGATGGTGAAGCAGAAGATAAACCAGTGCAAGGATGCTCAACGACAAGAAGAACTGGGTACAATGTATAAAACACTACACTGGACAACGAAGTGAAGAAGAGTGCACGCAAAGACAAAAGACACTTCCACGACACACTGACAAGCGAAGCAGAACAGGCTGCAAGTAGGCGAGACAGAGACGTCAAAACATTGTATCAAATAACCAGGTTACTATCTGGGAGGGAAGAGATCAACACAGATGAAACCAATAAAAGATGATGACGGAAATTTAATTACCAAAGAGGAGAAACAAAGGGAGTAATGGGCCGACCACTTCGAAAAGCTCCTGAATCGACCACCACTACCACCTGCATTTCGTCCAGAAATACCACCTACAGCCGCTGAATTTCAAGTGAACATAAATCCCCCAACGAAAATGGAAATCCTGAACGCCATAAAGCTACTGAAATGCGGGAAAGCAGCAGGACCAGATGGAATACCGCCAAAAGCGCTGAGAACAGATGCAGAGACAACAGCGGACATGCTGACACCACTATTGCAGAAGGTGTGGAGGGAAGAGAAGGTACCTGCCTATTGATTGGAAGAAGGGTTACCTTGTCAAACTGCCGAAGAAGGAAGACCTCAGTGCTTGCAAGAACTGTCGCGGAATCACTCTCCTGTCCACCCAGAGCAAGTAAAATATTATGCCGCATCATCCTGGAGAGGCTTAAAGATGCACTGGATTCAAAACTGCGACCGGAGCAGGCAGGCTTCAGGAAGTACAAATCGTGTGCAGACCAAATTGCAATGCCACTCTAGGCATCATCATAGAACAGAGCATAGAATGGCAATCAGCTCTCTGCCTCAACTTCATCGACTTTGCGAAGGCCTTTGACAGCGTCGACCGAGAAGTAATTTGGAAACTGCTTCAATACTACGGAGTACCGCAAACCTTTATCAGCCGCATTCAACAACTATATGAAGATGCCACATGCCAATTAATCCACAATGGGAAGCTCAGTGATGCCTTTGAAGTGAAGACAGGAGTGAAACAAGGTTGCCTACTATCCCCCATGATATTCCTGATTGTGGTGGACTGGATCATGCAGCAAACCGTAGGCAGCGAGAAGAGGGGGATACGCTGAACTGCGGAAAAGAACCTAGAAGACTTGGATTTCACCCATGACTTGTGCCTGATGTCACATAAACTTGAAGATCTGCAGGCCAAAACTAACAAGTTGACAGAAGAGGCAGGGCAGTGAAGACGGGACTTCATGTGAATATAGAGAAGAAAGGAGTGATGAATATACCGCACCACCATCAACAACAACAAACTCCAATCACCGTCAACGGGAGAAACTTGAAGGAAGTAACCTCCTTCACCCATCTAGGAAGCACTGTCTCAACTACAGGCGGGACGGACGAGGACGTCAAAGCCAGTCAGAATCGGGAAAGCAAGACAGACGTTCATTAGCCTGAAACCAGTGTGGAGATCTTCTGCACTCAGCATGCGGAACAAGATCCGGATTTCCAACACCAACGTCAAGTCAGTGCTTCTGTATGGCTCAGAGACTTGGCGCGTCACGAAAGGGATTTCCAATAAACTACAGACATTCATCAACAACTGCTTACGCTCGCTACTGAAGATCAGATGGTCAGAAAAAATAAGCAACAAGGAGCTCTGGGAACGAACCAACCAAGAACCTATCACGCAACAAATATGCAGGAAGAAGTGGAGATGGATTGGCCATGCACTGAGAAGGCCAACTGAGGACATCACACGTCAGGCCAGGTACTCGAGTGGAATCCCCATGGGAAGCGACGAGTTGGACGTCCGTGGTGAGGGTGACATGGAGGAGGTCGTGCGAGGAGGAAATGAGAGCTTGTGGGCTGTCGTGGGACCAGGTTCAAAAGATCTCAGAGAACAGAGGTCACTGGAGGCGTGCTACTGAAGCCCTATGTTCCACTAGGAACCCAAGGGACTAATAATAATAATAATAATTGACGAACGACTAAAGAACTGCAGTTATTCTGTTCTACGTGGATTCCAGTGCTACGTACGTATTTATCGTCTTTAAAACATTTGTTTTTGTTAAGCTCTAGTTGTCTTCCCCTTTTACTTCAGTATCTTTTTTCATGAGATAAATAAAAGCTATTTTAACTTATTGGACTGGATACAATGATTTATGTATTATGTCATCTAAAACGGCAGTTTCAGAAATATTCCGTTCAAATCAACGTCTGTATTGTCAAAAATAAAGTGGTAGGTAATGATACAAATTAAACATGCATATTACTGTGGAAATGGCAAGGTTTTATATGACAATTTCATTGCTAATTGTATCAATCTTAACTCCCTTTCAGCTTATTTTTATAGGATTACTGTCAATGAGAATGACTCTTTTGCTCATCACAACCGTCACTGAACTTTCTACATTGAGACTCTTTTTACTTTCAATCTGATATTTGCAAAAGTTCACTAACTTCTTGTCGTTTATTCGTAGAATGAAACAGGCTTTACAAATAGGTAGTTGATAAAAGGTCAACAAACTCTTAGTCAACAATCACCGGATAAGTTTTCTTAGATAAAAATAAACGATAAATTCGAAAATAATGATGACGGTGAAAACAGTGTTGCGAGGTTACATTATGTACAGTGATTGATCAACATAGGGCAACCAATATAATGTTACCTAGTACTAAGTGATGACCACATTCTGTTAGTCATTTTGTAACGAGCCCAGGGCTTTCTGCTGATTGCTTCCAACCAAGTAACATCTGTTCAAGTTCCCCACAATGCTGAGCCTTCCCGTTCGGTGGCTATATTGCAAAGTGATGGATAGAGCTGGGTCAGCACTCAGGGCTAGACAAGATGAAACTGGCTACACTGTCGTGACCAATCAATGTACCTAATGAAGTCTAGTATCTGGTCATTCATAGTCCGAATAGCCCAGTGGTTAAGTCACTGAATGCAACAGTGTATGACGCGGGACCAAATTTTAGCGCAGAAATCACTTCCGTAGAGATTGCGGACACGTCTTGCTGACGGCGGCCAACAAGCACAAAACATAGGTCCGGGGTTCCCTGCCGATTGTTTCCAACCAAATTAAATCCATTCACGTTACACTATATGCTTCTGTGACTGTGATAAATACAAACTCATTTAAATGAGAGGTAACATTTGGGGTTGCATAAAGATATTTGAAACAATTTACCAGTTCCAAATCTTGCTAATCCACATGGTTTTCTTTCTTCCACTAAAGTCTTGATAAACAGCATCTACTGGTTTATTCATGCGTGAACAAGTCGCCGCTTATTTGTAGCGCACCAGATATATTTACAACTTTCTGTTTATTTGATGCTTTTCTTTGATAATATAATCTCACAACTTCATGCATATTTCTTTAATATCATTTTTTTCTTTATTAGTAGGCAACTCAAACTACTAAAAAAAAAATAATTTTTGTACTCAACTATTACATCAGAAACATAAAGGTTGGAAAAACTTGTGATTATATAATCCATATCAAGGGAATTGAACTCGACGATAAATGGTTGCGGTATAAGTATAAATAAGAAGTCTTTTGACTACTAATCTATTCTGTTCTGTTATTTTTGCCTACTGTGACTGACAAGAATCGTAAGGGTGATCGATTTTTTTCAAAGAATGTGCTTTATTTCATCATAGTCATCAGGTGTTGGGGTTCTTTCGCATCCCAGTGCTCCCTCAACATACATAATGCTCGTCATTATTGATGCAGACCTCTTGGTCTTAGCAATCAGTTATGTTAGTTATTATGTAAAGATATCTAATTCATAGCTATTTTACTGCATGAAATTATTAAGCAAGTACATAGATCATAAATAATTTGAGCAGATTTATTGTTAACATAAATGTATATGAAAGGTTACAATTCGTACTTTAGTGTGGAAGAAGAAGGTGAAACAGACATTAACAAATCTAGTTACAGTGGTTGTAAATAAAATAGCTAGATATACTCAATAGTATTTAGAGACCTCTTGGTTTGCTACATATGGAAAATGTACTGAGGAGTTAAATGTACAAAAGTCCAAAATATGCAGACAGAATAGAAGATAGGTTAACACTTACACTCGATAATACATAAAGTCACAGTGGAGTGACACAAACAACTTCCAGTAATGTTTGGAATGTAAGCAGAATTTACCTTATTTGTTGGATAAAGGAACATCATTGAACAAATCTGGCAAGGAATATGAGTTAAGTTCTCGTGGTTGGATTTGAATTAGTCTATTTTGTATTGAAATATGAATTAGCATTTACAAATAGCTGTGTATTTTGAAAAATATTATGGAAATGTGAATTCTAAAGTTATTTGAATGCATGTAGTCCTTTGTTACTTACATAGCTTGAAGTGTGAAGTTGTAATACTCAGGTTTTTGTCAAATTATATTTTAATTCCATGTAGTAGATCGAAATGTTTTTGCCAAGCCATATCTTACTGTTTTTGTCAAGTAGTCGAGAACTGTCCTCCACGTATCGGCTAAACTGTCTGTCCATAAGCCTTCCTCTTTTAAAACTGGTTCTATAGCACCCCATAGTTGATCAGAAACACTCTACAATATAAAAGATTCATGAAAACTGTGTAAATAAGCATAACCTATGTGCAAAGTAATATCTTAAAAATAACGGTACATAGTAAACAGTGCTTGCGCAACCTGTTTTTATCCTATCATAATTCAAGTGGAAAAGAAATACGTGTTAGGTATTTCGTCACAATTTATTCAGCTCTTCAGGAACAACTAGAAAAACTTGAAACTATTAGTCCCCTTAATAAGTTTAAATAACACATTGCGTTAACAGAGATTATCTGAAACATGTGATTTATTAGCGTCATACATTTCGGACAATCTGATCACACATGAACTTGTAGAAGAAACTATGAAAGGTTAATAAAAAACGAGTGGAGTCATAATTAACAAAGATAACAAGGGTAGAATGTAAGCAGGAAAATATTATCATCAATACTCTGCTTGAACTAGCAGAATCTTTATTCAATCTAATTTGTGACCATGGCAAATTTTATATCAAGAATCATCACGTCTTAAATTCGTAAATATATGAGCATGCACTGTATTTTTTTGTCACATGGTGTTAGCCACCTATAACAGATACAGTTATAAATATATTTTTCACTTCTATCAGATTAAGGAAAAATAGTCACCAGTCATTCATTAGTTTCTAGCTAATTATTTGATTGCGGTCACTAATGAACTTTTTATGGCCTAGTCTTACCTATCTTATTCGGAACACTGCTTTTCTATCAAATACATGCACTTGAAGTTGGTATGCATCAGGGAGTGGAGACCTGTTGAAATACTGGAAGCACTGGACACCTGATTTGTCTAAGTAAGATCATTTTCAACAGAAAACGCCTACGATCCTAGAAAGAATAATTTGCTCACCGCTAAATTCAAAGGTCATGAATTCAGTTAGTAGAGAGACCGTGAACGTTGGCTGTGCAGGAGTCCCATAAAAAAACTTCTGTCCAGAGCTGCAGAGATTTTCAAATGGTACAACGACTGATGTCAATCCAGGATGAATACCATCCTGAAATCAATTAATCCCCATAAACATTTAAACTGAAAATAGGTTTTACCCACAAACGCGTGATCAACTGTTGTCTAGAGTTTATAGCGGGTTATTTTTATGAGTGGAAAACCCTGCGAATAGCCTACCTCATTGGCATACATGATTCTTTGAAGCCAAGACAAGAGTAAGACAGGGTTACCTATTATCACCGATCATCTTCCTGACTGTGGTGAACTGGATCATGCAACAGACAACTGTGGGAAGCGAGAAGATCGGCATAGGCTGGCTGGACCGAGAGGAAACCGTGGAAGAAGACTTGGATTTCGCCGATGATGATTTATGTCTAACGTCACACAAGCTCGAAGATCTACAAGCGAAAACCAACAAGTTGTCAGAAGGGGCGAGGCAGCAAATACGGGACTTCAAGTGAACATGAGGAGGACGGAGCTGATGAAGATACTCAGTCAACCACATTCCCCAACCACCGTGAACGAAAGAAATATATGGCAAGTTGTCTGTTTCACCTACCTAGGCAATACCATCTCAGCTACAGGTGGCGGCGACACATATGAGAATGTTAAAGCCACGATCGGAAAGACAGCAAAACAGGCCTTCACTAATCTGAGGATGATGATTTATGTCTAATAGCGCACAAACTTGAATATCTACAGGCGAAAACCAAAAGGTTGACAGGAGAGGCGAGGCAGCAAAGGAGGACAGGATTTTAGGTGAACGTAGCGAAGACAGAGCTGATGAAGGTACCCAACCAACAACAACAAACATCAATCACCGTCAGCGGGAGAAAGCCGAAGGAAGTTGTCTTCTTCACCTACCACTCTACCAAGGCAGCATCGTCACAACTACAGGTTGCGGCGACGCATATGGGAATGTTAAAGCCACGATCGGAAAGACAGCAAAACAGGCCTTCACTAATCTGAAATAATCAGTGTGGAGATCTACCGCACAACACTGCACTACACTGCATTGCACTCAGCATAAAGCGTGGACAACATCCGGATTTTCAACACTAATGTTCGTCAAGTCAATGCTTCTGTGTGATGGTTGAGATACTTGGCGCATTACGAAGAGCATTTCTGACTAGGTGGAGGCATGCATGAACAGCTGTGGCCTACGCTCACTCGATACTGACACTGGAGATCAGATGGCTAGAAGGAATAAGCAATATGAAACTCTGGGCTGGCAACGATATAACGAGGCCAGAACCCATCGTCCAACAAATATGTAGTAGAAGATAGTGGAAATGAATTGGGCCGTCTGAAAACATCATGTGCCAGGTCAGGCCATGGGGTGGAACCCGCATGGGAAACGACGAGTTGGGTATCTGAACCGAGGGTGACATTTAGGAGATGGTGTGAGGAAGAAATGAGGGCTTCTGGACAGTTTTAGAACCAGGTCCTAAAAATTGCAGAGAAGAGTGAGATGGTGACATGCTACCTAGTCCCTATGTTCCACTAGGAACCCAAGGGACAAATACTATGAAAGAAATTGACGGATACGATAAGTCAAAAATTCTGCATAGTCAAATGAAACTACTTGTGATGCACTTTTTCTACGTTCTACAGAAACTGTAGTAGCAAATCTTTTCAATGTAGCTAAAGTCCTATCGTAATGTACAATCTGTACTTGCGTTATGCTCTAACTCGTCGAATAATTTGAAGAACATATGAAAACCAGTTAAATGTTTGTTTGAAGAAAAAAACTGTTTTGATCATCGTATTGCCATGAAGTTACATTGAAAGAATGTACTCGCAACTACAACGTTTCATGTATTAAGGATACTCAAGGAGTTTTCTTGATACAGAATCCAAGACAGATATGCTTTCTTTATACAGCTTAATATGCCACATCTTTCAGGGTGATATTAAAATGAAAATATACTTCTTTTTTGTTTTAAATATCCTTTTTAATATGAAATTTAAACAAATTTAAATTCCTAAATGAAACTGCTTTTACAATATGAACATGAATAAACATACCGATATAAGACCAATTGTTGGAACATATCGACAATGTTTAGCTCCAATAGCCATTAGTTGTCTTTCGATGTCATCTGTTTTAGGAAGTCGTGTGACCAGTTTATCCATTATACTGAGAACCCTTAAGCCATGCACTTGCATCGCTGGATCATGTTTCACATCTGCAAATTTATTTCGTCGAAATTCGGTGAATGCATCACGAAAGTCTGAATGTTGTTCGAAAATTCTAAAATTGCAAAATATTACAAATGAACATTTTTATATATAGTATTATGTGCCATTTGTAAGCTACATTTTGACATATTGATATGAGAAATATATTCATGATAATAAAGGTTATTTGTATTGTACTAGGATAATTTTGTCAGTATTCTGTCCCTTGAGCTGGATTGTTTGATCGTGGAGCTTTTATTGTCATTCTAGACATCATTAGTGCAAACTTCAAAAAGAAGTGAGCTATGAGGTCTACTCTATAGTTTATTTGGCAGCTTATTTTGATGGCCTCATGGATGGTTGGTTATTTCTATCGACCAATCATACACAAGGCCAACAGGACAAGTCAATAAAAAAATGTGGAAAAAACCATATGGTTCACTTCTTTCTGAAGTTTATGCTTATGAAGCTGTCTAGAATGACAATAAAAGACACACGACTCAACAATCCAGCTTAGAGAAAACTATGCTATCAAAATATATTTGCACTGAATATATATCGATCGTCTCAGGATGTGTAATGAAACATATTTATGTGAACACAGCAAAATATCGCTATATTATGATAACACAAAACCTTGTAGGTATGTACATATTCTTCATAAGGTTTGAATTCATGCAGTTCAATTTGTTTTCGATAGAATGATGTCATCAAAGAAAGCTGCCTTACTTAGAAGATTTTTAATCAGTAAATAACCATATGAACTTCTTGTGATGTTCGTCTTTTTTTCTTGGTTGAGTAAGGCATTTCGGTGATTTAATGAAAATTCTGTTCGAAAAAGAGTTTAGATGCGATATTTTGTGGTAGATTTATTTTGTGCTGGATGACTGAGTACTTCTTTGATAACTGGATTTCAACGAGCCCTCCTATCGAGATCTACGCAATTGAAAACCATCTACTTAACTTGACATGCACCCTATTCCTGTGTATTACTAAAAGATTCGCTATCAGTCTAGAACATTTCAAACTGTTTTTGAAAAAGTTATCTCACCAGCCTCTTCGCCCGTAATAGTTTTGTCCTAAGACACCTTTATTTTGAGCATCTTACTCGCATACTTCCTTCATTTAACCCAACTTACAGCCTCTACCTTGACGCGGTGTTTGGGTTTGCATATGACAATCACCCAACCAGCAATGGTGGTTGAATGCTTGTTCCCTCGAGTTACTACCACAGTAGATAGCATTAGACAACAATCAGTTACCATTAAAGTGGGGGCGAAGTCGCAGTGCTAGCTGGAGGGAAGAGTGACAACAGGGTGGTGTTTCCTGCAGATAACCAGCAGTATTATGCTGCCTTTTTTATTAGAAGGGAGAAGGTTAGATTAGATCGACTGTAAAAGTGGCACTTTTTTCACATGCCATATGCAATACTAACCTCGCCTGGTTAACTAGTTCACTAGTTACTAGCCAGTCCTAAGCCCGGGTAAAGAGGGAAGGTTGGGCGTAGGGCTAGCAACCCTACCCCGTAAAATAAATCTAACCGCGAAAGAAACTTCAAAGCACAAACAAAACATAAAAAATAAAAACAGACATGATTCTCAATGGAATCGGAGAGGAGAAATGACACCAGTTGGTGAAAGCCTTCGGGAAGCCAATTGGCCGATGTGTCTTCGCCTCTCTCGATGAAAGCGAAAGTAAACGTGGGGACATGGAATGTCCGAACCATGTCTGAACCTAGCAAGGCAGCCCAGATTGCAAACCAGATGAGAAGGTATCACATCGAAGTGCTTGGAATTTGCGAAAGTAGATGGGATGGAAGTGGACTCTCCAAACTTTCAACTGGAGAATCAATAATCTACTCCAACATCGTCACCCAGACGACAACCACGAGCACACTGAGGGAGTGGCTATCATGATATCGACAACAGCATCGAAGGCTCTCATGCAGTGGGGACCAATCTACTCCAGGATCATGGCAGCAAGATTCAACTCAAAAGGAAGGAAGGTCACAATCATACAATTCTGTGCTGTGCACCCACAAATAATGCAGATGAAGAGAAGAAGGAGGAATTCTACAGACAACTGCAATCAACACTGGACAAGACCTCACCGCAGTTGGCGATATCAAAATTCTAATGGGTGGGGCGACATGAATGCCAAACTGGGAGCAGACAACACAGGAAGAGAACTAACCATGGGTCGAGAAGCGCTCAGTGAGGTGATGAACGAGAATGGAGAATTGTTTGCAGAATTCTGTGCATTCAACGATTCGATGATTGCAGTGAGGCAGTGTGTTCAAACACAAGGATATCCATAAAGCGAGCAACATGGATTTTACCAGACACCAGGACACACTAAAAATCAGCTCGACTTTATCTCAATCTCAAGAAAATGTAGACGCAGTCTACTTGACACAAGGTCAAGAAGAAGAGCAGATGTAGGTTCAGACCACTGTCCAGTGCAAAGAACCTTCCAAATCAAGTTGAAATCCTTTCAAGGATGTTGGTGATAGACCGCAGTTCAAGTACAACACCCACAACAGAAAGTGAAGGACGAAACTACAAAGGACATCCTGATGGCAGACATCAAGACAAAATGGGAGAGAGATATCGAGGAACATCCCTGAAGAAATCTGTGTGGAAGAACACTGGAACTCTTTGAAAGAGATGTGGAGAGAAACCTGCACAACAGTATTAGGAAGGAAGAAGAAAGAAGATAAGGAATGGATCTCGACGGACACATGGAAGCTGATAGAGGAGTGAGAGGAGGATGGTGAAGCAGAAGATAAACCAGTGCAAGGATGCTCAACGACAAGAAGAACTGGGTACAATGTATAAAACACTACACTGGACAACGAAGTGAAGAAGAGTGCACGCAAAGACAAAAGACACTTCCACGACACACTGACAAGCGAAGCAGAACAGGCTGCAAGTAGGCGAGACAGAGACGTCAAAACATTGTATCAAATAACCAGGTTACTATCTGGGAGGGAAGAGATCAACACAGATGAAACCAATAAAAGATGATGACGGAAATTTAATTACGAAAGAAGAGAAACAAAGGGAGTAATGGGCCGACCACTTCGAAAAGCTCTTGAATCGACCACCACCACCACCTGCACTTCGTCCAGAAATACCACCTACAGCCGCTGAACTACAAGTGAACATAAGTTCTCCAACAAAAATGGAAATCCTGAGCGCCATAAAGCTAATGAAATGCGGGAAAGCAGCAGAACCAGATGGGATCCCGCCAGAAGCACTGAGAGTGGAGGCAGAGACAACAGCGGGCATGCTCACACCACTAATGCAGAAGGTGTGGAAGGAGGAGAAGGTACCTGCCTATTGATTGGAAGAAGGGTTACCTCGTTAAACTGCAGAAGAAGGGAGACCTCAGTGTTTGCAAGAACTGTCGCGGAATCACTTTCCTGTCCACCCCAAGCAAAATATTATGCCGCATCATCCTGAAGAGACTACAGTATGCGCTAGATTTAAAACTGGCACAGGCTGGCTGACTAGATTCAGGGAGTACAAATCATGTGCGAACCAAATTGCAATGCCACTCTAGGCATCATCATAGAACAGAGTATAGAATGGCAGTCAACTCAACTCTATCTCAACTTCATCGACTTTGAGAAGGCCTTTGATAGCGTCAACCGAGAGATAATTTGGAAACTGCTTCAATACTACGGAGTACCGCAAACCTTTATCAGCCTCATTCAACAACTATATGAAGATGCCACATACCAGCCAAGTAATTCACAATGGGAAGCTCAGTGATGCTTTTGAAGTGAAGACAGGAGTAAGACAAGGCTGCTGCCTACTATATTACCCTTGATATTCCTGATTGTGTTGTGGTCGACTGGACTGGATCATGCAGCAAACAGTGGGGAGCTGTGAGAAGAGGGGGATACGCTGGACTGCGGAAAAGAATCAAGAAGATCTGGATTTCGCCAACGATGACTTGTGCCTGATGTCACACAAACTTGAAGATCTGCAGGCAAAAACTAACAAGTTGACAGAAGAGGCGAGGCGAGGCAGCGAAGACGGGACTTCAAGTGAACATAGAGAAGACAGAAGTGATGAAGATACTGCACCACCAACAACAACAACAAACTCCAGTCAACATGAACGGGAGAAACTTGAAGGAAGTAACCTCCTTCACCTATTTAGGAAGCACTGTTTTAACTGCAGGCGGCACAGACGAGGATGTCGAAGTCAGGATTGGAAAAGCAAGACAGGCGTTCATTAACCTGAAACCAGTGTGGAGATCTTCTGCACTCAGCATGTGGAACAAGATCCTGATTTTCAACATCGATGTCAAGTCAGTACTTCTATATGGTTCAGAGACTTGGCGGATTACGAAAGGCATTCACAACAAACTACAGACATTCATCAACAAATGCCTACACTGACTCTATACTGAAGCTCAGATGTTCAGAATAGCGGGAATAAGCAACAAGGAACTCTGTGAACAAACCAACCAAGAACCTATCACCCAACAAATATGCAGGAGGAAGTGGAGATGGATTGGGCATACATTGAGAAGGCCGACTGGGGACATCACGCGTCAGGCCAATTGTTCGAGTGGAACCATGATGGGAAGCGACGAGTAAGGCGTCCCAGCTGAGAGTGACATGGAGGAGATCGTGAGAGGAGGAAATGAAAGCCTCTGGGTTGTCGTGGAGCCAGGTTCACAGTCGGATTCACAAAAAACAAACCATTGAATTTCAAAAATGTCCTTGTGTTAGCGGTCTTTCGTTGTGTGAGTAGCTAGGAACTGGGGACTGTTCTCACAACTTTGTTTGGACTCAAGTTCCCTAATACCACTGTTCACCTTACTCATCCGTAACTTCTACTCTTCGTTCACCCATATTAGCCAAAACTCTTACCTCAACTTTGATTTGTTCCAGCTATACAACTTCTGACAATGATTTAAGTCTACAGAACAGCATGTCTGATCTCCAGAAAGGGTGCTCAACACAACACATTAGAGCTTCCAGTGTCCGTGCCCTCTGTCAAAAAGGCCAACAAGCTTCACTAGCTGCAACTCTGCAGTCTCTAGCCATGTGTTTAT